AAAATAGAAACTCGGAGAAAAAATTAGGATAACCATGCGCCTCCTTGCTGCTGAAAGTGAAGGATAGTGACTCTGCTCAGCAATGCTAAAACTTCATAAAGAAATTCTCATCTTATACATAGCCAATTCTCTTTAAACTCCACCTGCACGATAACCAGCTGTTATCACGGGAATGAAAAGAGCCCAGCACCTTCTTCATGTTCTACTGATTTGTAATACCAGAATATTTGATATTACAGCTTCTGGCAAAGGCTCTGAAAAGTAAAACCTCACACAGGGATATCCTTTGAGGTCTCAGTCTGGCCTTCCCAGAACGAGTGCCAGGTGACCTTTAGCAGGCAGGAGCTGGAGAACAGAATCACAGAAGGTTGGATAAACCCTCTAAGATCAAGTCCAACCATCAATCCAGCACCACCACATTCACCACTAAACTATGTCCACATCCACGCATCTTTTGAACATTTACAGGAAGGGTGACTCCCCTACTGCTCTGGGCAGTCTATTCCAATGCTTTACAAGCCTTTCCATGAAAATTTCCCATACATCCAATCTAAACCCGGTACAACTTGAGGCTGTTTCCCCTTGTCCTGTCGCTTGTCACCTGAGAGCAGAGCCCACCCACCTGGCTCCAACCTCCTGTCAGCAAATTTCCTTCCAGCACTACAGCCAGGAATCTGCTCCTACCTCGCCTGGGAGCTTTGTGTTTGAGTGCAAAGGGAAACTACAGGCTTTAGGCACTTCCTAAATCAGAGAGAACAGCTGAGGGCCCATCTTTGGATGAGGCTGGAAGACCAATACTTCACCAAAGCCTTGAAGGACAGGCACAGTGGGACACTGGGATATTGCACAGGTCTCTGTCCTTTCAATGTCACATCATCTTTTGGCTTCTAAGTCCTGGCCAGACCTCCCAGTCAGGGCAGCCCTACTGCATCCAGACCCATGTCCAGTACATCCACTGGGAAAATGTATCAGGGATTCCTAAAACCAGGCAGTAATTTCTTTTGTGTCCAGAAGAGATCAGAGCCCAGGATCCTTCCAGAGAGGTATTACAAGTACTACTGCAGGCAGAAACTGCAGAAATCCTCAGAAAAAAAGTGCAAGATGCCAGAACAGGAGAGAGCTGGAGGGAAAACAAACCCCCCAACTCAACAACCTCATTAAAGATTTTCTCCTTCCTCTGCTTAACAAGGAGAATGCTTAATTAAGTCCTCCTTCAAGCCTTCCCCCTCACCCAGCAAGGCTCAGCAGAAAGCAGAGATTTAACAACTTCCTCTGCAGCACAGGACTCCTCAGTGGGACAGGAATTTGCATATTCTAAAGAGCAGTGAATCGCTGGTTCTCTGTTGCTCAGACGCAGTGGGGAGGGACAAAATCAGCAGGAGGTACATTTCAGATCTGCTCAGGAATAAGAGAGAGCAGGAGGGGAAGGAGCAAGTTGCTGTTTATTCCAAGTCAGGACCTTTCACAAGGCAGGAGTTTGATTGTGCTATGCACAGACTTCTCAGTTTATTTGCAAGTCTCTTGCAGCTTAGTAGGTCAGTTCAACTGGCAACTGCTGCTGATTTTTACTCCAATAGTCACTTCTACCTGGTGACACAGCCTCAGTTCTGCAGCCAATTCTCACCCATTAATGCCTCCAGAATTGGTACAACTTGCTATTCACGACAATCACCAGTTTGACCTCAAAGTTACTGTTTCCTGTCATAATTTCAACCGTATTTATTTTCACTGGAACATCTTCCTGTGTGTTCCCAACTCCTGGGATCACTTCTCCTGTGTAGTGAACTGAGATACATATTAGAGACAAGCTTTCAACTCTGGCTCAGGTATAATCAAAACTGCCAGCTGAGAGACATCCTCCTGGGACAGAACTACCATCGAGGACCCTCTACTAGAATCCAGACATTCCATGGGAAGCTGTCCCCACTTGTCATGATTTAGTTCTCTTATGAAGGACGACAGCAACACAACAACGGGATTTTTTTTTTTTTGATGGGTCTTTCAACCAAAACAGAACAAAAGGCTCCAAAACACCAGAGGCCTCAGCCCACCGTTCTGCAGTTTAGGGGACACCAAGGAGGACTTCCAGCTCTGCACATTCCAGGAAACTGGGCTCTACATATCTGCACCACACAAAGTGAAAAGAGGCAGGTAAATAAACCAAACCCTAAGAAGGGCCAGCTTAAGACTCAAAGGATTTACAAGGAACTGCAGCAGGATGGATTTAAAAAAGAGTTTATCTATGCGCTTCTATGTCTCCCTCTGAGTACTTCTGAATTCCCCCCAAGAAGCACCACAAGCAGTCTTGCATTTCACCAAAGGGAAGATCTATTCTGACCCAAAATTCCATTGAAAAGGTAGGAAATGTGTTCTGAGCAAGTTTGTGGCAATTAGAAGACCTGGGCTCTACAGCTACCAGGGGATACAGAAATCATGGAATGGTTTGGGTTGGAAAGGACCTTAAAACCCATCAGTTTCACTCCCTGCCATAGACAGGGGCACCTTCCACAAGACCAGGGTGCTCAGAGCCACATCCAGCCTGGCCTTGAACACTTCCAGAGATGGGGCAGCCCCAGTTTCTCTGGGCAACGTGTGCCATGCCATCACCACCCTCACAGGAAAGAATTTCTTCCCTATATCCAATCTGAATCTTCTATCTTTTAGCTAAAAGCCATTCGTCCTTGTCCTATCACTGCAAAATCCCTTGCAAAAATACCAGGCAAAAGGAAGATGCTCAGGTGTACCCAGGTTTGAGTGTAATTATACAAAAGAGCCCTGGATTATTCAGTACAGAGAAATGAACTTTGTTCCTGGAACACGGAAGAGTTCACCAAAGGCACAGCAGTCCCACCTGGGAAAGAGCTCTGAAGCAAGGGATAGATGCAGCAATGCTCAGGAGGGAAGAGATGCCACAACTACAGCTTTGAGCCATTCAGGAGATGGACCACACGTCAGCTCAGTACTCCACAAGCCCCTGTCAGCTGGGATATAGGGAGGTTTTCTGTAACTTTTGTGATTCCACTGGTCCATTAACCATGGACTGCAGACAGCATTCCAGCCCATCTCCTCAATCAGTGTCTAACAGAGACTGGATGAAGCTGGCCTGCCAAGCTGCCCCCAGTACAGCCTGTGCCCTAAATTTAACTGGTACAAAGCTGTTGGAAAACACTAAAGAATGTTCTGCCTCAATTCTGACCAAATCCCAGTGTCTTTGCAAAGGAGCAGGAGCTCCTGCTGGAACTGCTTGCTCCTCTCTGAAAGTATAATGAAGTTCTAAAGCAGCAGCCCAACCTCCACCTCACACAGGGCCCTGCAGGAACCTCCTCCAGCAAAGGATTTATTTTGCCATGAACGAACAGCAGATTTTTGTTTGGGTCTCAGTGATTTATGTTCATCTGGGAGACTTAGTTTCCTTTTAATACTGCAACAAAAATCAACTTCAAGGAAGTTTGAAATATTTTTGACTGACAGCTATCCATCATCTGTGTAAGGTGGGAGAACTCCACACACAGGAAATTAGTGGATAAATTGGCTGAGAAGCAGTTCAGCCCAGTCCTCAACCTTGCCTACAGGAGAAATTTTACCCTTTCCCTTTGTACTTCTCAGTCTCCTCTAAGCAAAATCACTGGTTTACTTATACCAGATGTGTGGAAATCAGCGTCAAACAAGACACTGTTTGGGAAACAAGAAGCCTTTCCAGGGGGGAACCTGTCTGGTGCCCCAGCATATCACCACAATCATCCTGACTCCCACCACAAACCAGGCCCAGCTGATCCCAGAGCTGCACAGGAGCTTCTCAGGTCAGACATCACCAGGGATGAGACTCAAGGTTCTTACAGGCTTCCAAACTGCAACTTCCTGAAACGCAGCAAGTGAAAAATCAGACCCTCTTGCCTAGTCTAGAGCCACAGACTTTCTGCACAAGACCTCATCAGTCTTACATCCTCTTTCAGAGTTCCTTTCCTGGGGGCACGCACCTGCTGACCTAATAAGTCCCATCCCAAACCCAGGCAGGATGACTTGTGTTCTGAGGCCACATGCCCAGCTTGGACCAGAGCACAAGGGCAGCAGGAAGGGGAAGGCTCTGCAAGGAGGCATGTCCAGCCAGGAGAAGGTTGTGTTTCTTCAGGAGCAGCGTTAAATCCAACTTCTTCCTCAAACACTGCCTTAGTTTCCTCACAAGCACAAAGAGACAACCTTAAACACCAGAGCTGGTGGAAAAGCTGCCAATATTCATTTCTGCTAGCAGGGTACTGCCTGTATTACAGGAGAGACAACAGCAGCAAACTGATGGCCCTGAGCTGGGGATGGTTCATGACAGAAGGATGTTGTCATTTTCCAAAACTCTTTCCCTAGGGTTTTCCCCAAAGCAAGAGACAAGAAAAGATTTCCACTCCTGCTTGAATCCCCCGGAAGATTTTGAGAAAAAAAAAAACAATGATCAAAGAGCCTTTGCTCATTTATAAACCTGTCAATTTTGCTAGAAGATTTAAGGCTTTAAAGAGTCCAAAACATCTACTTGAAATTTTCTATCCAAACAGACTTCTTTTAATACTTAAAAAAACCCCAGAAATAAAATATTTAGATTTTTTACGAAGTGAGGCATTCCAACAGCTCCAGACAGAAGTGCTGGATGGGAGGAGGAAATCCAGTTCTTAAGTTTGACGGGAGCTTTTTTTCCCCCCCCCTTTCTTTTAATTGGCAGAGAAACAAGACTACAGAGCTATTTCAGCCCCTGGCTCTGACCAGGAATAGCTAGGATGAGCAGCACAGGAAACAACAAACCAAACTTACTCAAGTGCTGGCAGTTCCAGGTCCCTGTCCCACACATGGTTTGCCTCACAGGAAGGATTCTCCAAGGTGATGGTGTAGCAGGATTCCACCCCACCATCCTGCCCTTCCTCTCCATACACTCCCACCACTTCCCATTTTGCCACCAAAAGCCTCCCCCGCAGAAAAGAAACATGTTCTCCACCTGAGAACACCACAGGTATGACAGGTTTTGGGAGAGCTCAGCCTTTTTCAAAACTTGGTTACCTTGATTTCTGCTCAGCCACATGAATTGAGAGGGTCAAACATCTGGCAGCACATTTCTTTCTCCATTTCCATGTACTCTTTGTAATATCTGCAAAGTAGAACACAGAATAGCATCAGAGGCTGGAGACTGACTGTGCCACCCTCAGTGTCACAACCTGAAAAGAATGTTATTTTTTGGATATAAATAAATTAGCACAATGGAAGAGTGTGCTGGCAGCAGCGACACAGCTCCTCCAAGCCCTTCTTTCTGCAATGTCAGGGAAAGAGAGCTGGAAATGTCCTGCCTCATCCTCAGACCTTGGGTCTCAGCTCTGCTCAGGACTAATTAGATTATTTGCCTTCTGTGAGACAGGTGCTTTCTACACTAGTTTTGGAAGTGTGGACAGTGCAGTGGACACCCCACGTGTGTGCTGTGGGACACTTTTGTGTGTCCTTATGCAAGTTCTTTTAGCACCCAGGAGACATTGTTCAAGTGCCATACAGCAGGGTATCTACCACAGATATAGGATCTGGATGGGCAGAGGATGGGCAGGAGACAGCAGGAATTTGTTTCTGGGACCAAGTGGACGACAAGGCTGATGTTTCCTCCTCTGTTCTCTCTTACTTGCCAGTGTCACAGGATGGCAAAAGCTTTGCATTTTTCTCCATTTTAACTTCTCAGCACAGCATCCTCATCTCCCTGTACTCTCACTCCAGTGGTAAGGAATCCCCGAGCTGCAGGGTGACTCAGTTTGGGAGCACTGTCCCAGGGATCAGTGTCTGCCCACGAGTTCGGCTTTCCTGCATCTGCTGCCATATAAGGCCAAAAGCAAAGGGTTTTGTGCAACATACTAGAACCAGCCCCAGGGAGAGGCTGGCTCAGGCTCTCTCAGCCCCAGCCCTTAGCACCCTTGGGGCTCAGAAACTCAGAGGGTATGAAATCCTGGCCCAGCAAATCTCTCCTAGTAAATCTCACACAGAAGTTGCTGACCAAGGATGCCCACCTGTAGGTGGCACATTCTGACACCTACGACAGCAGGAAATCCAAGAGTCCCTTGTTTGGAGGAACAGATTAATGCCAGACATTGGAAGAACCCCAATTCCTTCTAGTTTTGATGCAGTGCAAGCCTTCCAATAGAATTCCAAGATCCAGCAGCAGAATTTGCACCAAATCCACCACAGCTGGTACCAGACACATTCTACATTCTCTCACTCTGGATTCTTCCTGTTGTTCTCCAGGAGATTTTGCCAAGAACCTGTTTCAGCCAGTAAACAGATGCATTCCAAAGCTTTGTTTTAGACAGCAAAAGGGAGCTTGCTGATTACCACACAACACTGTTTTTAACAAAGTATAAATGTACTGAGTAAGGAAGTGAAAAGCCACTAAGAAGATTTTGATTCATATTCAATTTCTGAGGTATTTTTCAGATCACACTACGAGTTCTCAGGCAAGAGCAGACTGGCAACATTACATATTTACCCAGAGGTAAGGTCTCATTAAAAACACCCAGTAGCACACTTGCTTCATGTTTCACACTAATTCCACTCTTTTGTCACAAGCAAAAGACCTCTCCTGCAGTGCTGCCTCAGCTCTGTGATCCAACATCAGAAAGACACAGAGCTGCTGGAGTGAGTCCAGAGGAAGCCATGGAGATGCTCCAAAGGCTGGAGCCCCTCTGCTCTGGAGCTAGGCAGGGAGAGCAAGGGTGCTCACCCGGAGAGAACTCCAGGAAGACCTCAGAGCCCGTTCCTCTGCCTAAAGGGGCAGGAGAGCTGGAGATGGGCTGTGAACAAGAGGACAAGAGGGAATGGCTTCTTGCTGCCAGAGGGCAGGGCTAGATGGGATATTGGGAAGAAATTCTTCCCTTTGAGAGTGGTAAGGCCCTGATACAGGTTGCCCAGAGAAGCTGTGGCTGCCCCATCCGTGAAGTGTTAAAGGCCAGGTTGGACAGGGCTTGGAGCAGCACCCTGGTGTGGTAAAAAGAGTCTTTGCTCATGGCAGTGGAATTAGCTTTAAGGGCCCTTCCAATCCAAACCATTCCATGGTTACATGCAAAAAATATACCAATTTTAAGAGGCAGCGAAGCAGGAACTCCAAGACAAGAGTGGTTTAATGTGCACTCAATTCTGACACACACCCATTCACTACTGCTCTCTACAGAGCTTGAGCTGACAAAGGCAGAAATGCCTTGTTACTTCCAGGACACACCACCTCAACATCATTTAAAATTTTTTCTTTTATCTATCAACATATTTCAAATCTAAGTAAATACATGAGGCTTCTAGAATCAGGCCTTCTAGCACTGTACATGCACCAACCTCCAAGAGCAGACAAACAAATCTAGTTTAGAACTCCCCACCCTCAGTGGACAATTTGGAAGCTCCATACCCAGTGGGAGATCAGGATGAAGACAAAAGATTCATCTAAAATTTCCAGATCAGAAGCTAATACTGCCTTCAAGCTCTTTCGACTTCAGAAATAACAGAACAAATTTGAAGACTTGGTGTTATGACAGACTATTAAAGACAACATGGATCAACAGGACAGAACAGCCCTCTACCAACATATCCCCTGGCAGAAGGCACTCAGCCCACCAGACTGGCTTTTCCAGCAGCACCAACCACTCTTTTTAGGTGTTACTGCTGCCTTTCTGCAAGTGCCTGGCAGTGACATACAGAAGAGGATTCATACTCAAGGGCTGCTTTGCGAGCTCCAGAGCTGAGGACAGCATCACTCCTGCTTCAGTAAATAGTGCAAGGAGAACAGCACATGCTTTTGGGAAAACACTAATGCTTTTGGCAGTTTCAAAGGAAGAGCATCATGAGCATAATGAGACAAGCATTAGTCATGTTTTGGTGGGGCTGGGGCATGACTAAAGCTGGCGGGATAGTCCTGTACTCAGCCTGTGGGCAAAGGGAGAGTTTGCCTTCAGGGCTGTTCATTTATTATCTCCAAGATGGCAACAAATTTACTTTTAATGAGTATTAATATTGTGCATTGAAGCACTTGCAGTGCAGAAAAGCTGCTGAAATTAATCAACACATCTTAAAGGGAATGCAAGTCATACTTATTGAGAACATTAACAGCTGGAACACCAGCCAACTGTATTTCACTGGGTTTGAGGCATTTTAGTAGCCCCCACATCCCCCTCCTCACAAGTCAGGTAACACACATCCCACCAAAGAACTATATGGAAAGGGTGGGTGTTCCCAGCTCCTCACTTGCAACTCCTGGGCCTGAAAAACGTTTCAAGCTGTTTTCTCCACATGCGTTTTCCCAAGTCACTTATTAACCCAATAGTTTGGGGTTTTTTGAATATTTTAAATATTTCAGAATGGGTAATACAGCCTGTTCAAACACTCTATCTTCCCCAGGTATGGAAAAGAGAGCTCTCACCTGGCCAACTTCTTCAGCTCATTGTTGATATCAGGGTTGAAGGGCTGGATGCACTGAGCTCTGGCCAGGAAATCCTGGGATTTGCTGTACTCCCTCATGTAGAGACAAGCCTGTCATGGAAAGATGATAGATGCATCAAAAGATAAATACAGACCCACTGCCCTTTTTCAGGCCTCGTACAAAAACAAACATTCCTGAGACAGAGAAAAGTAACTCAGGAACGCCCCAGGAAAAGCTCCGTGTGACACATTTCCACAGATCCAGATTTTCCAAAATGGCAGATCCAGACAAACCACCCTGACTGCTGCAGCAGCCCAGAATTCAGAGATTCTCCTCAGTTCATTCTGGGCTCCTTCCACAGCCAGGCCAATATGTTCCATGATGATTTATTTGCCCACCTGGCCACACCTGAACAGTGCTTTGGCATTTCCTTGGTCCATCTCCAAGGCTAACTCCCCGTATTTCAAAGCTCGGTCAGCACGTTCCAGTTTCAGGTAAGTGAGTGAGAGATTCAGGAACAGCAGCAGTTTGGAAGCGTTGATCTGACTCTGCTCTGCCTTACTGGAAGAGCTGTGATCCAGGATGGAGAGTGCCTGAGCAAAGAGGAAAAACCAGCCAGTGCACAACAAATCTATCATGGAAAGTGAGAAATCCATCTCATCCAACAGCTACACCCATGTTTCTGTTCACCTAGGTCACTTAAAAGTAATAACAATCAAAACTCTAAATACAGGGCATGGCATTCTCAGCATAACTAATCATGCTGACCACATGACCACAGGTTTAGGAACTTACTATGGAAAGCAGCAGAATAAAAACCAAAAGGATCCAGGACTCAGATTGTAAGGATAAAAATGGAAATCTTTCAGGGAAGAAGGCAAGTCAAATTACTTTTGTTTACCAAGCAAAAGCAACTTTCAAACATCTCTGCCTCTGAAAAAGTAGCAAATACCTTCCAGTTTGAGAATAACTGAGCCTTTACCCTGCCTGGAGAGGGAGCTGAAGAAGCCCAGCCCAGGAAAAAGGAGCAGGGAGTAACTTCTCACGCTCTAAAATTCCTGGACAGGAAGGTGCAGCCAGATGGGGGTCAGGTTCTGCTCCCAGGTAGCTGGACAAGACAAACAGCCTCAAGCTGCATCTCAGGAGGTTCAGGCTGAATACTGGGGAAAATTTCTCACTGAAAGTGTTCTCCAGCCCTGGCACAGGCTGTTCAGGGCAGTGGTGGAGACCCCATCCCTGGAGGAGTTTAACAGCCCTGCAGATGTGGCACTTGGGGACATGGGGTAGTGGTGACCTTGCAGTGCTGGGGGTGGGTCTCAGAGAGCTTTTGCAACCAAAATGATTCCTCATTTATCACTGCTGTTCACATAAAACCAGGTGTGCAAGCCCTATTCTGAAGTAATAAACTCTGCGTGGAAAATACCGCAGTTATTTGATCTCTAACCTGTACCTGTTGTGGTGAGCTAAAAATAATCCCTTCTTTCACAGCTTCCTCAAAGCACACCCCACATTTTCCTGGTGCCATACCCTCTTGTATCTGTCCTTGGCAATCCTGAAGCACTGCTTATAGAAGAAGTAGTTGCCAAATTCTCTCTCTGTGGCTGCCACTTTCAACACCTTCTCTAGAGGAAGTCTATCCCGCTGTTCCTGTGCGAAGAAATATCTGAATTTCAGCTCAAACTAAAGAAAACAGGCAGAGAACTCAGACAGGACAGTCCTACACAGCCCCCTCCTATTCACAGAGCAAAAGCCAGGTCCTTACCAAGGCCAGGCCACCACCATGTGGTATCTCCCCAGCCAGACTGAACATGCCAGTGTTCTTGTGCTGATTATTCCTAGTGAAGAGGTCAGGAAGCCCAAAAGGGGACTGAAAAAAGCAGGAACCTGTCTTTAAAACCTGTCCAACTCTTTCAGCACACAGCTCAGTTAACACAAATGCAGTCACTGGCACAAAGTTGCTTGGAAGGTTCCATTGCTCTAATTGCTCTCAGTCCAGCTCTGGGACAGCCTGACACTACCAAAGACACCAACCAGCAAAACAAAAACCCCACCAATCATTTAAAAAAAACCAGACAAAAATGGAGAGACAAGTTTCCTTCTAGGTCTGCAAGTTGGAACCAGCTCATAGAGAGAGGTCAGTCAGCCAAAATGGGTGGGCAAGGAGGGAGCACAACAAGTGTGGTTTGCTCACAGGGCTGGGGGGGAAAATTTGCCTGTGCAGAGGCTGGAGGGCCTCCGCCATTAGCTTCTGCCTCCACTCACTGACCTACAACCACAGCCCAAAGCCCTTGACATGAAAGGGTGAATTAACAATAGCACCACAACTCACCAGAGAGGAAAAAACAGGGAAATACACGTAGGAGAGGAGCCAAGAGACAGAGACAAAGGGTGGGGGTGGCGAGGCACTGAGACACTGCAGACTGAAGAGGATTGTTACAGACAGCTCCTCGCTGTTCCTTAAAGAAATTCCCGGAAATTGGTGCCCTCTAGTGCAACCATCAGGTTTCTGGTAAAACTAAAAATAAACGGAAGCCATTCCACTGACTCCATCCAGCACAGAGGAGCAAACAAAGGCAGATCCCGCCTTCTCCCTCTGCATGGGAGGGTAAACAGAGCGAGACAAGGAGGAACACAAAGGGCAGGCATCAGAGCAGAGCTGGGAGCCAAGGGACTGGATACTTGCACGAGCATTCACCTGAACACATGTAACACACAAGTCACAGCAACTGTGAGACAGGACAATGATGGTTCACCCTGCAGATTTCGGTCTCAAGCGGTATTAAGGGAACTCACATAAGTCAACTCAAAGAACGCGTCACACTCCTCCGAGTCTATGAAGTCCAGCACCTCCACCTTGAAGAGGACCGTGGTGTTTGGGGGAATGGAGGGAGGACAGCCCCGCTGGCCGTAGGCATATTCTGGAGTGAGGACGAACAGCGCAGCCTCTCCTTTGGTCATGGACAGCAGCCCGATCTCCAGCCCCCACAGTGTGATGTCTGTCACAATGAGAGGTGGGACAGGTGAGGTTCACGAACACCAACACCCTCACACACCAAACAATGATTTCTCCTTAAGCCTGAAGGAAAAAATCCCTGTGAGCTCCTGTCTCAGCAACTACAACAGCCTCCATAAAGGATTATCAGGGCAGCCTGCTGTGGGACTGAGCACATAGTATTGCAAATCCAGAGTGGGATGAGTTGGAACGGGCTCTAGAGATCATCCAGTCCAAGCATGCCATGGGCAGGGCCACCTTCCACTAGACCAGCATGCTCCAAGACCTGTCCAGCCTGGAAAATATCATCTCCTTTCAAGAGATTTAAAGCTACCCAAGGGCAGGTAGGAAACACCTCCCTATCACTCCCAGGCAGAGGGTGAGCAGGTCCAGATTCCATCTCCCATGTGAACCAGGAGGATTTTGTACTCCATGAACAAGTGTTAAAGGTTTTAAACAACATAAAGACACCAAACAGCATTTAAACTGAAATGCCTTAATACAACCCCAGGTCCCAAAATCCCTTAATACAATCCCAAGTCCCAGGACAAAGTCTGTGGCTCAAACCTACCTTTTCCAAGTTTCATCAGCCTTGGATACTTGCTGCTCCCGTTTGAACAGAAGTGCTTATTCCAATTTCCCAGGTACCCGGAGTACTTCACTGTAAGCCCAAAGTGAGGAGTGGGGAGAAGGGAAAAGAAAGAGTTTGATTTCATATCCCGTAATGGCAACATCAGGAGCACACCAGGAGTTGTAACCAACCAGTTATCCTGCTTCTCTTTTTCCGTTCTGCTATAGAACAGCAGAGGCAGCACAAACCCTTCTCTTTTACACCAAAAACCTGGTCACATCCAAGCAGCCAAGCGCTGTGTTTTAGCATCATTCCCAGACAAAGCAGCTGCTTCACAGTTCTGAGCTATTTAAGAGATGTGATTCCCCGCTTTTAAGACTTGGAAACTTCAGCTGACCAAATTAACATGCCCCAGTTATAGGCAGAAATGCTTAAAAATAATTCCCTAACCAAAGCTGGAGCTCTGGAAAGAGGAATAAGGGAATAAAATGTACCCCCACCCCAAGCTCTGCATCTGTAACTCCAGTAGTGCCTCAGAAAATACACTGTAATGGGCCTCTCTTAACACAGCACCCGGGCCCTGCACTTCAGGAACCATTTCCAGCTTCGAACTTCTCTGTGATCACAGGCAGGCCCTAAAAATCCTTCTTTTCCTCAAGGTCAAGATGCCTTTTCTTTTAATGTGTCAGCCACAACAAGTTAAACAGGGTATCCCAAGTGTTAAAATACTGATAAGGAGAAGAGACAGTCTCTGAAACAGAGACACACCATGGTATAAAATCAGCACTTTTAAGTCCTTGTTGTGGTCTTTGCCAGCCACCAGCACCTCAACATTAGAGTCTTGGGGGATCTTTCCCAACAGGCTCTGTCCTGTCCTGCTTCCCTCAATACCTGTGTCAGCCACACAGACCAAACCTCACACCGAAACACAGGTTACAGAGACGAGCACCAGACCCTCACATCCAAGGACTTTTGCTTTCTTAGTTCTGCTGAACACAGGCTAAACTTAACAATTCCTATTTAAAAGCTGCTCAGGAGATGGTCACTGGTGCCAGAACTACCTGTGAATTCAGGCACAACATTACTACAAAGCACCCCGACCGCCCTCCCCAGGCAGCCAGGCTGAGCTCAGGCAATCACACTCCAGGACACCAGCTCTGGCGAGACTGCAAGAATCATGGAATGTTTTGGGTTGGAAAGGACCTTGAAGAACATTCAGTCCAACCCCCTGCCCATGAGCAGGGACACCTTCCACTATAGCAGGTTGTTCCAGCCTGGGCTTGGGCATTTCCAGGAATGGGGCAACCACAGCTTCCTTGGGCAACCTGTGCCAGAGAACTGGGACATCCTTAACAGGGGTGCCCGGCCCTGGCCACGGGATCCCCCACGGCCCACAGGAGGTTCAAGAGGCCCCAGACACGGCTCTACCTGCCACGGAGGCGGATGGGGGCACAGGTTGCCCGATGCCGGGGTGCAGCTGCTTCTTGCGCACCCCTCCATCGCCGGTCAGGTCTTGCAGGGACTGGAGAAACTCCGAGGCCAGAGAAAAAGAGGGTGTCGAGGCCGGGGTCGGGGTCAGTGCCACAGCCCAAGTCGGAGTCGAAGCCGGATCCGGGTCCGGCTCCCGACACCCGGCCCCGAGCCCCTTCTCGCCGGCGCCGTCCGCCATCATGGCTGTAACGGGGCTCACGCGCTCCGCAAAGCACTACCCCGCGCGCGCAGCGCCTCCAGCCAATCACGCTCCGAGCCCCAGCCCCGTCCCAAGGCGCAGCTTTAGAGACACGCGGAAGTGGACGCGCCCCTGCGCGGCTCTGGACCAATGGAAGGCGGAACGTCACCCAGCGCCGCGGTGCACGCTGGGGAATGTAGTCCGCGGCGTGCACTGCTTTCTGCCCTTCATGAGAACAAAAAACCTAACCCAAACCACCCCAAAATTAAAAAACCAAACCCCACAAAAACAACGTCAAAAAACCCAACCAAACTACAACAAAAACCACACAACTACAAAAAAAACCAAAAAACACAAAACCAAAACTAACCAAAACACAATCAAACAAAAACCCAAACCAAAAGAAAAACAAAATCAAAAAACACCTCTCGACCAACCAACGAACCAACCAACCAAAAAAAGAAACAAACAAAAACAAAGAACCCCTCCCCCCCCCAGAAAAAAAAGCCAAACCAAACAACCAACCAAAAACCACCACAGGCAAAAAGTCCAAACTGGTTTGGAACAAGTTTGTAAGTTTGGCATTCCTCAGGCACCTGAAATGGTATAAATGCAAAACTAATGAGAATGCAAAATATAAGTAGAAGGAAACCCATATTTTTGAGAATTTTTGAGATCACCAGTAAAGAACATAAACCCAAGCTTTTTATTCACAGAAGGGGAAGGAAGGATTCCAGGACGGAAGGATTCCAGGAAGGAAGGAAGG